GGCGGGGGGGGGGGTCGTGCCCTTGAGAGTGATAAGGAGACGGGGGACATGTGAAGATCGAAGGAGTTGGGTGTTCACAAGCTACCCGGGCACCCAAAGAGGCCGGAACGGGTTACGCTGAGCCTTGAGGGACGGCAGTTGTTTTAGATTATGTATTCCGCCGCATTGGCAAAGAGCGCGGCCGTAGTGTCTCTGACATGTGTCTACCCGGTGGTAGCGTAGACGCTAGTATACGTTCACTCCAGACATTCCAGCCATTACCACTCTTCACTCAAAGAATTCTAGGATCTCTTCTGTTATTCTCTATTGTTATTGTCTACCAGAAAACGTTGGGCTCAGCACGACTCTCTTCAGTTGGACTGGTTGAGATATTACACAGCAGCGTGAACTCCCACAAGATAGGGACCTTCGGAAAATCAAACGCCGCAGGCACGCGCACACGCACGCACGCACGCGGTTCTTGTACTGGGGTCACCGGCAGACATCGCCGATCTCCCTCAGCGCTCGCACCACCTCCTTCGCCATGAGCTTCCCGTCTGTGTGCCCCCCACCGCGGAACGCCGTGACCGGCACCGTGATGCGGTCTCCGTCTATGTGGTAACCGAGACCGTACCCGTTGCCGGCTACAGGGCCAAACCTGGGATAGCGGTGAAGGCAAAAAAATACAAGGGAGTGTACTCCTGTAAACACGTGACGTGGTCGTTAGACCATAGACCTCGAGATCCTAGAAATGCCGGGACGGAGCGATGTTACGGGTTTTCGCCGGCCCAGGCTACTAGCAGAGGGTGAAACAAGACGACGGCGAGGGAGCCACTATAACAAAGAGCGGACCACACACTCACATACTCATCGGCTACGTATGGGCAACAGGATAAGCGCTGCATGCCATCTGCATACACTTGTTCCTTCCTCTGATGCAGTGACGTTCAAAGTGCGTGCGTCGTTGACGACGCAGCCTCCGCTCCGACGTGGGCGATGGGGTCTAGTATCCTAATCAAGCGATTTGTGCCCAATTCAGATCATTCCATTCCGATACGTTTGCTTTGGAATGCTCCGTGAACATGAAAATGCCTCCCTTCCGGCAGCAAACACGAAACCCCGCATGGATATCAGCGGCTGCTGTGAGAGGTGAGAGGAGACAACACCCAGCGCTCTGTGCCAAGTCGCCTCTCGCACCCCACTCGTAGCAAGTCAGTGTAACCCCTCCTTGCGCATTCACTCCACGATCAACAGCATTCAGGATACCACTGTGTCTCCCCGAAAATATCCACGTAGAGACGGGATAACACAAGATTCTACTCTACATTGTGATCACGGGAGGAACTGTCCTGTTCTTACCGCTTGGATGAACAGCGATTACGGTGTGCAAGTAGAGGGGCGATTTCTACTTGAGCTCCCATTATGTCTCTCTCTCTCTCTCCACCTCTCTTGTCCCTCTATGCCGCAATGCCCATATAACTGTCTGTCTGCCTGTCTGCCAGTCTGTCCGTCTTCTGCATATCTGTCTTGCCTGTCTGTCTGTCTCTAGGTACATCTCCCTCCATTCCCCCCCCTCTCTCATTCTCACCCAAAGGAGCTAAGGAAAGGCGGCGAAAGGTTGCTGGTCGACAGCCTCCACCCTGCGCTCTCCGCCACAAGCGGGTCCCCGAAAAACTCCTCTCCCGCACGCTTCCCCTCGCCGCCACCGACCCCCTCCGCCGCCGCCGAGCGCATGGCCAACATGTGACGATCCACCCCTTCACCCTTAGCGGCAGCCTTGGCGACCATGATGTGTTTGGTAGCGGCGGCGTTCAGGGCCTCGCGGAGGGTGTCCTTTCCCTTCGACTCCGATTCCATTGCCGACACCAAGTCCGCGGATTCTGGGGGGAGGGAGGGAGGGAGGGAGGGAGGGAGAAAGGAGCGGGGGAGGGAGAGAGGCAGAGAGCTGGAACGGGCGGCGCTCGTTGACCTTGGCCAATTAAAAAATCGATCACGGGTCACCCGTTTCGAGGCAGAACTACGCCGCTTCATCTCGCACCCGACCGAGACGCCACCGACAAACTTCCTGCGCCGTAAGCTTCTCTGCCGTTTATTCGATGAATATCATTATTCCAATCCTCTGCGCGTCGTATTGACCACAATCCTTTTCCATTCTTGTGCAAACATCTTAGCTCGGCGAGTTTAACAAGAAGTGCTCGCGTGCGCGCGTGTGTGTCTCTATTGCTTGCATTGCCTTTTTTCTTAGCATCATCCGCGCTAACGGACTGATCAATGAAAGACGCGCGTGCGTGTGATACTAAGCAACTGACACGCAATCGGGACAAGCAACAACAAAGAACCTCCAACAGGCGGACAAGCATGCAGATGCCGGCCCAGCAGCCGCACCTGTGGTGCAGCTGCGAATGACCTCCGTCCTCCCCCGGTGGAACCAGCGGGTGGTGCAGCTCTCGTACACCGAGGGCATCGTGCCGTGCAGCCGCTTGAAGGCCAGCTGGAAGGCCATCTGGGCCACTGCGTCGGGGCTCATCTTCCACTCCTGCCGCCACGGCGGGGGCGCCGCAGATCCACGCAGCGAGGTAGAGTGGGGGTCAAACGTCACCAACGGACCCGCCCTTCCCAAGGAATTGGACAAGCACGAAACGAGCGGTTCTCTCAAGGCGAAAGAAGTGCGAACGCATAAACATCAGCTTTGCGCGCGTTGGTCCACTAATGGGAACATAAATCCGTGGAATATCAAGCAGTACGACCCGGCTTGAACGCCATAGAGCCGCGCACACCTGCTACTGCCACCCAAGTCCTTCGTTCAACAACAAAAACAAGACCCCTCCCAAATCTTCGTACGAATGAAAAACAAAAACTCCTCCCCCAAAAATCACATGGCTGTGCAGCGGGGCACCCATGCAGTCTGCAACAAAACAACACCTTGCAAGAGTCCTTCCCGAAGTCTCGGAACTCCACCGGGTCCAGCGTGTACCCCTCGCAGGCCTCGTCAAACTCCTTCCGGGCGCACGCCACCTCCCGCTTCAGCTCAGGCGGCAGCTTCCACAGCAGCTCTCTCGGTGGCGGCGGCGGCGACGCGAGCAGGGGGGCCTTCGGGAAGGGCAGCACGCCCTTCGACTCCACGCCGTACATGTCGTGCCAGATCTTTCCACGGTTAGCGTTGGGCAACACAACGGGTGGTTTGACGGGTTGGGCGGGGGCGGGGTGGGTAAGCACGGGCCAGATTCCGGATGCCTGTGCCACCGGTGTACAGCCTTTCTACCTGACATGGTCGTGCACTCCTTCGTTTGAGGAGGCGGAGAAAGGAGGGGCGAGAGACCGTTTGCTTTCAAGTGTTGGAGGCCGCGAGTCACGGTATGTTCGGGACGGGTTTTCCAACATTGTGCGGGCTCTCGTCGCGCGCAACCGCGGAAGGATCGGTCAGAAGGATCGCATAGATACCACCCACCGCTGACGCCCCCCCCCCCC